AATATCTTCTTTGTCGAAGTCGTTGAATCTTAAATATACGATCGACATTCGCGCGAAACGGTAAAAGTTTCCACCGTCATTTGCGTTTAGATCATTTCCCGCGCGCACGGCGGCCCTTGAAACTCGCGTGTTTCTTCAAGTTCTGCTTATGAATTATGTCGATGAATTTAGGAGAGATTTTTCCTGGCTAAATATTAAACAGAGAGAAGAACATTTTACGCCGCACCTCACCGAACTTTACGATTTAACGATCAAGTCTCAAATGAGTGTCTTTTGAATAAAGTCCCTTTCCACACGAATAAATATATAAATGCAGCGCGAAATCGTTTTAATTGTTTAATATCGTATCAGTTGTATTAATATTCATATTCAAGGGGCTGTATAGAATTTCTGGGGCGTATTCAGAGTGAAAGGTATCTCTCGGCAACGTAATTGACCCATAAATTGACATTAATGGTCTTTAACGTTGCATAAAGTCAATTATTACTTAACAATTTGTATCGCCAGTTCACCATGTCGTTTAGTCGTCCGTTACAATTTAATTACATCACACTTGACGTTCACGACGGTATCCGATAAAAGTTTTTGATTAGCGCCTCCCCCCCCGCCCGCGTCCATCCGAATCAAGATTATCAATTACCTGTCGTAGTTTTATTGCGATCTGACGGTTTTTCCCGCGAGTATGGCCGATAACCGGCAAGTACGGAGGGAACAACCGAATAAACGACGATCCGGCGTAATATTATTCTGCGTTATCGATGCACGCAAGTTACTTGCTTTGCAGTTATGCGATCAGAGCTCTGCTACGTATCGACGTAGCGGACGATATTGCGTGGACGTATCGTGAATTCCATCCGACTGGTATGCGTGCGCATCGCGCTCCGTTCGGGGAGCAAACTGCGACGGAATCGCATCTTACGTGCGAATATTTCGTACAACCGCGTTAGTGAAACGTTAAATGAATTAAATATTTATCAACGTTCTAGGACAATCCCTGTAAGAAGGACACGGGCACAGAGTCTTCGTACTAAAAATTTAGAAGAAAAGTGCCATTAATATAGCTGCGTCTTTCCAATTCAAAGAGTCGTGCAGGTTTCACCTCCAGAGATTCCACCGTAGTTAAATCGAATAATTCTGAACAATGCTGGAACAGGACTTTTAATTGTAGAATAATTTTTATCGCGCGCGTAAGTCCCGCGCAAACGAAATCAAGATCGAGACGAAGTTAGAGCGCTCTTATGAAAAAAGGATTCCGGAAATACGATAAACTCCTCCCTCGGAGATGACGCTGCAGCAGAGTTCATTTTCGCACGGCATCCTCGCGCGCGCGGTCGTGGAATATTCAGCCGCGCTCGAGTATCGGGCCTCTCACGCGAGCGGGATGCAAATCGTAAAACCGCTTATGAGACCGAGGGTGTGATGCCGTGAAAGAGAAGAAAACGAGGCGCGACGGAGGAGAGAGGGCCCGGCAGCGGGGAGGCCGCGCGCGATTCCGCCCACGAAAGGATGCATTAAACCTCGACAAGCTCGCGCGAGGGTCGTGAAAGCGCGATTTACGCCTCACCGATCCACCGCCGATCGAGCGCCCGCACCTGGGCACCTGAGTGCGATGAATCGAATACGATTGTCGATGCATCGCGAATACACCCGTCGCGCGCGGTGTCGCCCGATAATAAATTCTCGACCTCCCCGGATTAGGGAGCGGGCGAGGAGGAGGAGGAGGACCGAGATCCTCCTTGCCCGGCGATGCTTATAAACGGTTCCTTCCAGAGAGGAACTCGCTGCAGAGCGAAGCTCTTTTCGCTCGAGGACGTATACACGAGCCGGCACTCTTCGCAGGGTTTGCATTAAACTCGAGGAGCGCATTCTTTGATGAAGTCGGTCGACGGATTTTCCCCGTTGAATATTTGATCGTGCCTTTTCGCACGACTCCCGAGTTTTCGACATTAAACAGCGTCTTTACACTCTTTCATTATCAAACTTTCCTCCTCCGCGGAAGGAACACACGCGTACTGCTAGTGGCGAGAAAATTAAAATTTCCTCAATGTTGAATATCTTACATGTCCGATTAAAAGCCGAAGGGACAAAGCTTAACAGAGAATAAACAGGCAAGATTTTTCTATTTAATATATTAGTTGACGAAAGAGCTTATTTCCCACCAATCGTAGCTGGTAAGTTTTCAGCGTTCCGATATTCGATTTGAAATGAAGTCGAGATTCTTGGAGAAAACTCGTACGTCTATACAGCGACGTTCTTTTGTAAGACGAAATGTTATTAGACGAACGGGTCTCCACGTTTCCCGACAATATTGGGGGATGCAGCATCCATGAGATAGTTGTATTACGTGCTTTATCAAACACAAATTGACACATGCGCGATACAAAGTTGAGCCCCCGATTAAATGGACGTCCCGGAAATGGGAGCTATTTCCGATATCGAAAAAGACGCGGGCTCGAGATTTCGGTGGCATTAGACGCGACACGAGCGTTGATTGGCCGGGAACGCATCTGAGGATCGCCTTTACTACGAGGCAGCTCGTTTCCGAACGTCTTTTCTCGGTGCTCGCCAATAAACGGTCCGGTTGCTTCCTCCAGGGCGCAAAGTCGTTCCGACAAATGGAACCTCTCATAGAGAAAATTGCAATGGCAATCATAAAGCAATACAGGGGAAAAATTGACCCTCGTAACGCTGTCATCGCTGAACTCTTGTAAAACTCTTGTTAAGGCCAAATACCCCGTCTCACGGTCATCATATACGTGTTCGGCTATGTCATATCGATATCGACAGAACAGAGAAGAAAGTAGAAAGAGGAGAGAGAATGTGTCTTCCATTTATATAAAATTTAATTATAAGAATCTGAAGCTATTTGTGACAAACAATTGTAAACAAGATAGAGGAAAGTCCTCTGTTGTGAGATAGGCTTCTAATATGAGATGGCAGGTTTTCAATGTCAAAATTTAATAAGAAATAATATTAACTATGGCAAGGGCGATAAGAGCCTTTGACGAATTTTTTTTTACGACATTTGAATGTGTTCGCACTTGGATGGAAAGGAACAAGAATACACCTTTTGAATATTAAATATCGACGAATTTAATTAGCGTCAGACGTTTCGGTTACTAAAGACTACCCTTTTCAATGATAATTTCGATTTAAGATTAAATAAAAACCCAATAATACCACAACAATTTAAAGTAAAACCGCAACGTTGGTTGTATCGTGATTACGGAGACGTTTTGCTATTAGGGTGCCATCAGAGTTGTGACAAATCGTATTGGTGATCAAATTCATACTATCTTCCAGTATCTATCAGCTACGTGCACACCAACACTGACCACGTCGTAAAGTATCAAGAGTTGAATCACAAATCTTTATTCACAACGATTACACGATCCAACAATGAATTTTCTATTAAACAGATTTCACTCTAAGGACAATAAAAATTCACGATAAAACCAATAGACGATGCCTATTAATTTAGCAAAAACCCTGCTATCTCATATTAGGCGACTTTCAGAGCTGGGAAGTAACTCGTTACTTGTAACGAAGTTACAGTTACTTTGTTTTTTTGGTAACTCTAACTTAACTTCATTACTTTCTCTCCATCTGTAAGTGTAACTTAACTCAGTTACATTTTTTCGGCAACTAGTAACTAATTTAATAGTTACATTTAATTAGTTACTTTATATACATTTTAAATCTACACGCATAAACGCCTTTATTAACGCTTTACAATTCGAATGCAGATTTAATATTTTTATTTTCAGTGCAAGAAAGTAACTGTAACTAGTTACATCTTTAGCGAAAAAAACTGTAACTGTAACTAGATACTTTTATAAAGTAATTTTCCCAACCCTGGCGACTTTCCTCTGTATATGACAACGGATAATACTTTTCAAGTGTTACATATTTGAAACTGTAATGATATGTACACAGTGGTAACGAGAAAATCGGTCCATTCTTTTTATTTATTATCACTGAAAGATCGACATTTGGAAAAGGTGGTAAATCGGTGTCGTTGAATATTATATTTTCGATTGCTCTTTTCACGGGGGTAAGTAAATTACTCGGGAGTCTTCCTTACGAGAAAATGTTCATTAAAGATAAAAGAATTCTCGTTTAAGTTTCTTTTGTGTTGCGCAAGAGCTAATTCTGAGGAAACTTTCGATAGCACTTAATATTATATGGACTTATCTGTCTCTCTCGATCTATCATAATATCGCGGCACTGCGGGGGGGGGGATATAAATCAAAGTTTTCGCATTCGCTCGCCGCCACAAGGAAACTTTAAGTTTCGCGCTTAATTTAAGTTTGCATATTACGCCCAGCAACAAAATATCAATTAATTCTTGCGAAACTCGTAGCCGGTCCGCAAACATCATCTCTCTTATCTGCCCATCGAGATGTATCATAAAACACGAATTTCGTGTCCCCGCGCATCTATAGCCTCTGTGTGTACCTAATATATTAAAAATAAATTCCATCTCTCTCTCTCTCTCCCCCCCTCTCTCTCTCTATCTGAAAATTACTCGCCATATCCGTCTACCCTACGAAAATCACGTAGCGAAGTTGCTCGTACGCCAATTAATCTTCGCCCGATCAACAATTTCTCTTTGTTCTAAAATTGCGTAAACACGCAACAATTTCAAAACGCTTCATCGACAACCGCCGTTTCTTTCCGTTTTAGCTACTCTCAGGTCGTTAATCATGCAGTTTTTTTTTTCAAATTCCTGTAGCAATTCTAGAACACGCGCGCAACTACGCACGTAATTTTGCAATTTACGCAGCGCTGCCTATCCGCGATAATCCGTCGCGCGTTAGAAATTCCGAGTGTCGCTTCTCCAAAGTAGCTTTTCGATCTGTATACAGTCGGTTCAGGGGCCAATCCCGGATTTATTTTCGCAAAAAAAAAAAAAAGCGACAGATTGGTATTCATATCAGGGAATACACTTCGGGGGTAAGCGGCTTTCTGTGTAAGTAAGAATGGAGTAAGGTACTCACGTTAGCGGTGTCGTCGAGTTTCCGCTTCCACGCATCGCTACGTTCGATTAAAGCGTTCCACTGCTCGGAAAGTTTATTCACTTCGCGGCGAATGCTCCGCGTCAATTCGCGCGCCTGCTCCTCGGCGCTCCTGTATCCTCTGGAATCGCCGTCCAATTCTCTGCCTGCTGCGGAAAAGACAAATAGAAAATAAACCGTTTAACGATCTCTGTTAGAACAAACCTGCCAAGTTCTGGTTTTTATGTCGCCTTTCGTTATTTTATGCGTACATTTTGTTTCACGATCACAAATAGACGAGATATCAAATTAACAACGTCAGTGTTTTTCTTGACCATGTCTGGATTCTTAAATAGTCCAGAAAATTTATTGCGAAAAATATCAACTCGGCCAGGGTTTGAATCTGGACTTGCCTAGGCTCTAGGCGGGCGTCTCATTGAAGAATATTCTTATTAATTGATTATATCGAATTAAGTTGTAAAATACTGAAAATAACCTCGCGCGATTCCTTTTACGTGGGCACAAATTCCCTGGCCACGTTCTTTACGTGGTATTACATCAACGTAACGTCAAGTAACGAACGCAAAATATTGTTCCGACGCGACTTTAATACTGACTTTACGCCCTAAAGACGCGGCTCGATCGGTCAAAAAAGATGAAGAGATCGAACCGAGTCATCGAAAACTACGCGTGTCCGCCTTCCTGATTTCTCAGCGCTGTCGACCGATAAATTCATCGCGGCGGGACGATTAAACGCTGATGCACAGGATGGATCGCGGCGAAGACCAGCTGGGAAATATCGCGAACGTAAATCAACATAACACGTGCTAGATAGGGAGCCAGCGAGAGAGGGCGTATAGGTACACGGGCGTCGCCGTTATCAATGCTAAACATGCACATAAAAACTGTCCGCCGCATGATACGATGCGTGATTCATAGGACAATTAATTTCCGATAGGTTCGGGATAACTGGAGCCCGGGTTCGCGGCGTTTCTACTCTTCGTTACATGTGGAGTTCCGGGGGAGAAAAAAAAGCGTATAAAAGGGTTCCTTGCGAATCCCGTTGGCCGCCAGTAATCCACGTGCCACTTCGGCATTTTTACGGGTTTCCAGCGAGATACGCGCGGTAGTAAATCCCGCGCGATAGAGGCGCCGATGATATTAAAAGATGGGGAAGAACGATTTGCTCTCGGATCGCGGGACGTCAGGCGCGGCCGCGATTATCTTTCGCGTCACGTGGCATTGATCGATCAATCTAGGAAACGGCTAATGGATGACAAGCCGCGGAAAAGCGCGGCACATGTCTGCCGCGCGCGGAAAATGAGAGTAGTTTGTTCCGATAAACTGTGCGCACATGTCGCGTCGCTTACGCGGACACGCGCGTAATAATTGTTAGCCATTATTTCGACAACAAATAAAAGTTGCATGTGCAAGAGCTACTTCGCACAATCCCCGAGCTCTCCCTTCGTCAAAAACGTTTCCACCCGTCGACGGGAGCATCGGAATAACTGAATTCGACTTGTAACTTTATCGCTTTTCGTGGCGTCGATATTTTTAAAATAGATTTCAACCCGAGAGAAAAATCGAACCCTAACCAACGGTAGAGGAATTTACGTTGCCTTTTAAGTCTCGCCATTTTTTTTATCAATGCGATTTTCTCAGAGTTTCTCACGATGAAATTTATCGGAGAGACGCCTGCGGTCGTTTTTCCCGGTAGATAACCCGGTGCTCGCCGTCGAGCTGTCATCGAAAAGCGGTGAAACTCGCGGTACCAAAGAAATCGGAGGGATAGAGAGGCTTTTTATTTTGCACCTCTCCGGACGATTTGAGCTACTCCCGATAAGAAATGCGCGCGCGATCTAACGTTTTCATTCTACGCCATCGCGTACCGATATCCCTCGTCGAGGTCGACAGGTGGAATGGGACCGTCGGATCGGCGCAGTGCCGATCCTGGGTGCTTGGCCGTCCCCGTGTGCAAATTCACTTTTCGCCGTCCCGTTATTCCGTTAGATTTACGCTTTAGAAACTGTACGCTTTCCCATGAAACCTGTACGCTCATTGAATAATCGCGCGTCGCGTTGGCTTGCAAGAGCCACGAGAGTGGCCTTTAAGACCGAACCGGACTAGCAATTGTCGGCGCGGATTGGACTGGGATTGGCAATTGTCTTCTAGCCAATGAGAGCAGAGCAGCCAGCGATTCAATCGAGTCTCATTGGCTAGAGGAGAATCGTCAATCGCCAATCCCAATACAACCCGAGTCGGCAATTGTCCTAGTCCGACTCGGCCTTTAGCCCCCTAAACCCCCGCCCGCGTGCGGGGATTCAGGACCGCTAGGACCGGCCCTGGATCGACAATGCAGTTTCTCTTCGATGCAAAAGGGGTGGCGGTGGCGAAAGGCTGGAACAACCGCGGGGAAACAACAGGACCAACCGAACGAAAAAGAACGTCTCCGAAAGTAGTCTGTTGGACGAATTGAATTAGGCGACCGTGCTCTCCGTCCCTAAACCATTCTATTCAACAGTTTGTGTGACGCTCTACTTTCCGGGCACGTACGCCACTAGTTTATCAAGCTCTCACTCGCTGACTTCCCTCGTCTCCATCCACATCCCCGGAATGTCTCGCTAATTTTTTCCTCCATCGCCACGTCCAGATTTTCCTGAAAGTGCGAAATGAGCGACTGCGAAAGTAACGGCGAGCTTCTCAGAGAGCGGAGCGTAAAATCCCGTCGCTATCGAGCCGTATGAATAAAAATAAAATTCGTACAGAATTCTTATCCTATTTCGCGCATTAGCAAACTGTATGGTAAATGCGTAATAACGTTTGAAAGTTTTCGGCTTAAGGATATAAAAGAGATGATAAAATGGAACAATTTTAACTGCATACTTTTAAAATAAAACGTTTTTATTTTTTAATATAATCTCCTTTTGTCTCAATAGATTTTTTAAAATGATGAATTAATTCTTCTGTACTACTGAAAAATATTATACAGTTTTGCCTTCACAATAATTTAACACTGAGGTGGTTTTTTTTGGCGCTGGTAAATTTTTTTCACGCAAAGTGGACTTTGATTTTGAAAAATTATTTTTATTTCCTTGCAGTATTAAATCATTTTAAAAACACCAGAATATTTTTTAATAACGTAGAAAACTTCATCGTTCTACAAATGTGTTGAAATAAAGAATAATTATATTGAGAAACAAGATGAACGTTTCATTTTTCTCGACATTTTTATGACCTTCGGCTGGAAACTTTCGATCCTGCGTAGCTCACAATATCAATTGACTCATATATGACTCATTTATATAATTAAATATTTAATTCTAAAAACTATTTTCCGAATTAATACCTTAATGAATAACTTGGTGAAAATATACACGTCACTCAAAACAGTTATAACATTCTTTTTCTTTAAAAGTCCATGATATCTAAAGATATCTTGAAAGATCCTCTCGATGTCCACGTTTTATTTTTAGTATTCGGACGCTTTTGTGCTCAGAATCCAATCTATAGGATTCTTCAAGGTGATTTACTGAGCAATACAGTTGAAGATTTCTGTTCTATTTAAGAAAGCATGACGTTATTAGAGAATTACATATTTCTAGCTGCGGCAGTCGACATTAAAAAAAGACAAATACAGTTTCCCGGTCAACTAATTCTGTCTAATCAATCATTCTAAAATAAAATTGTCGGCGGTATATGAATTCACATTTTAGATAAAAATTACTCGGCCACCAACACCTTGCTCGGACCTAAAGGCGCTTGTTTGATTTATATCGTAATGGTCCTATTTAATTGCAGTTGTTTATTCCGCAATGATCTAATTAATAAATAAAATAACGACCCTTAGAGAAAATAAATATCTTATTGTGAGACATTCCGAGATATAAAATAGTAAGTTCGACCCCCGAAGGTAACGCGAATAAAAGACAGAGTTGGTCGATATAAGCTTCGCGCGGGAGCCCGAAATTCCGGCAACGCTCCGGACCGGGGGCCGCGAACCCCCCGTTCGCGGATAATCCATCCCGACGAATTCAACGTCGATATTGTATAATCCGGCCTTACGGTGGGCGCGATGTTATTCTGCCAGAAATTTATCGACGTCGGCCGGCCTGGTTACACTCGATGCCGCGCACGTTTCGCGAAACGTGACTACCTACGGAATGAGCGAAATCGCGCGCGGCCGCCGCCGGAGTTGCTCGCTCGCAGGAGCCGTTCCACGTTATTGGGACCGAATCCGTTCTACGCAGAGGCAAGCTATCGTTATGGTTATTCCGGGTATCTTACGTCGGATATTACACGCGGCACGGTGAATCACAATGACTGCAGCCGAAAGCCCCGGTATCATATATTGTACACAAAGTAACGTTGTATCTTTGTATATAGTCGAACATAATTATTTTTAGATCTGCTCCTAGCCTTATTTTTATATAGAGGAAAATCCCTTATTATGAGATAGGATCCTAATATGAGGTAGCGGAGTTTCTGCTGAATTAATAGGCATCATCTGTTGGTTCTACCATGAATTGATTGCCTTTCGAGTGAAATCTGTTTGTGAAAGTTGATTGTTAAATCGTGTAATCGTTACGAAAAAAGATTTGCGATTGAATTTGAACGTGGAAACCTACTGTCTCATATTAGACTCGTATCTTATAGTAGAGGACTTTTCTCTATTTTAGTAAAACCGTTCTTTCCTCATGAAAAACGAATTTTATATGCAAATATATGAAAAGATACACCATACGTATAAAGCAATTCCTCGTTCGGATGACGAGGAAGCGGTAGGTCCTGTTAATATTATAAATGTATGTATAATACAAATTTACAATATCGAAAGCGATGTAATAAAATATATAATTTTAATAAAACACGCCGACAAAATATGTTTTATGATAGACGATTGAATGAAGTACGACATGATTGAATCTATTCGTTAACAAATTTAGAAAATATTGCTGCAGATGTTTACACATCTTTTTGATCTTTAGCCCTTAATTTATTCAATTCTTCGTAGAATATTCTGGAAATTAGAAATTTATGTGTACACACATTTAGAAATCGTGTATTATTGTAAATAATGTAGATCATTGATAATATATTAATCTCACAATATTGATATTACATCACATTGAATATAGCCTGTTGAATATAGACACGTTGATAGCATTGACATACGCGTTTTGAAAGTAATTAGATTACGTTTTGACGGAGACTAATGAACTTACCGTCAAAACTTGCTTAAATTATCCACCAGTTATTACTGTTTGTTTAGTTCGGCTATTTCGATATTTTGCGTCAATCGCGCGTTATTCCGATAAACGATAATAACTATCATTCGTTAACAGATGGGTACATGTGTGTTCATTCAATTCATGTCGAATAGTATTCTAATGAAGATTAACGAACGATTCGCACGTCATTAATTGCATACGCAAATACTAATAATCTCCTCTTTCTGTTATTTCTCGTTGTCGAAAAATACACAAGACTGCAATAGAAACATTATATGAATGTTTTTACTGTTTCCATAAACATTCGGTCATCAATAATCGAAACGCAAAGGAAATTGCAATGGAAACTTTATTCTTATTTTGAAGTCCAGTTTGTTAATAGCAACCGCGTTCAAAATGCGCTATTGCGCAATAAACATTTCTTATTGGCTATTGGATTTATAAAGTAATAGCACAAGTTGGAGGAGAGAGAAAGAGAGAGAGAGAGGGGGGGGGGGAAGAGAGAGAAACGATGACATAAGATCAGGTCGTGCTTTCCTCCGGGACTCCAGTAAATTTCACCTACAAGTTTCCGGTCCCCCCTCGGGAATATCTCTCCTAAAGCTCCCTATCCATAGGTACCGATGTACTACGATACTTCTAATTCGATTGAAAACCCCACGTGACTTGCGACGGAGTTACGTTTATCTAGCTGAAGCAAACTTTTTTTTTTATTCGACACGGCACAAACAGTCACGTTGTACGTCAAAATTGAATAAACGCATTGCAAATATTAATAAATATGAGAATTGTTGAACAATAATAAGTGAAACCGCACCGATACGATTCTCGATTAAATAGAGAGAGGCGCCCACCCTCGATCGAGCTCGGTGTCTCGATAGCCTAATAATAATTTTTAAAAGAAATAGAAAAATCACACGAAAATGTGATTTTCGGTCGAACTACCAAGCCGGACCGACGATTGCACTTCTCTCTATTTAAAAACGATAAAAAAGGCTAATTTATTTCTTCGACAATGTTTTAAGTTATTATAAAAGAAATATATAAATGGCTCTGTTCTCTCGTTAGTTCCTTGTATACATATAAATATTTTCCAAATATAATAAAACAGTTTAAAATGGCTTTAGCTTAAAAGTAGATGAAACTAACGCTTCTTTTTTGTTGCCCCAGCTGCGTAAGTAAAAATAATTGATTTGTCGACCGATGAAAAGTACAAAGATGGGCAAGGAAAATAAGATCTTTCTCAATGAGTTCTATATTACTTCATGTAATGTAGATTACATGTGTAGGATTTAATTCGCGATATCCGAAAATGTAAATAACATTATTGGAAATGAAATCTGCGCGCATTAAATTGCGAATAAATCAAGGAAATCGAATTCACCTCGATGTATTATTTAGTGTTTTCCTTCATTTTTCCTGTTCTTGCTCAATCAGAGACGATGCAACATGAATAAAACATCTCGTCTAAATTTTACAACTTTCGGAGTTGCTGATATAAAATGAAAACTGGAAAGTATACACTTGTAGCTGATTTTGAAACCCTTCATATCGGTTCTCGATAGAGTTGCATTAACGCCGCCCACTAGAAGTTTTATCTCGGAATCGAATACTTGAAACGATACTACAATATGATATCGTACAAAGAGAGAATTTCTCGCAATAGTTATGAAGAACACCTGCGAAACTGCGTACGTTACAAAGGATTATCTTTTGACAAGTAACAAAATGAAAATTGTAAATAAAAAATTAAAGCTAAAATTCAAATATGCGCGTTTGCAACGAAATACAGCTTTTTCTCGCGTAACTTATTAATATGTATCTTTATTAGCAAAAAAATGATTAACGATCATAATAATAAATCTCTCGGTCTCACTACGGAGTTCATTAAATTACAGGTACTTTTTAGTTACATATTTCAATACCAAGATATAAATTTTAAATAACGCACATTTTTGTGTATGTATAGTTTTGTATTTCCACGAATTTCTTTATTTACTTCCACACATTCTGAATTCTGTGCACTCGCTCACTGCGTAAGCATGTTATTTTGATTTCGTCAGTTGCTTGCCAGAGTCGCAAGGAAATGGACAAAGTAAGCTTGAAAGCTTCTAGTCCAGGGAGAAAAGAATATTTGTGACAAATATGAAAACGGAGAGTTAAGTTTGAGTTGTTCGATGTGCGATATATAGTGCCACTTTCTTTTTAGATGTTATATATCGGTCTACCGCGCTTTTCCTCTCGCATCACCTCCACTGTCTTCTTCTTTCGCGAGCTTATGATTGATATGCGAAGAATTGCTTCTCGGTGCAAATTCACGAAGTAAATAAACATAATTCTCGTATCAGATATCTACCGGGTTTTCTTAATATCCGCGCTTTCGGCGAGGTGGGATTACGCAAATGAAATATTCAGGGCGTCGCAGTTACGCGTTCCTTGCCCTTGCCGTGCTTGAAAAGGGAGCGACAGTAAAGAATGAAGCTCGTTTCTGGTCTCGCGGGTTAGGTTGCAAAACCGAGGGAAGAAAAAGAAAGAAAGCGCAAAATATTTCTCGCGGCCTTTTCAGTCTGGGAATCCCGGTGCAAGCACAATCGGCAGTTGTTCTTAGATTCTTGCCGCGGCATGAAATTCTCATCTGGCGCGGAAATTCACGGGAGGCAAAATGTGTGAATTATTAAAACGCAGTTGGCAAGTTTATACGCAGGAAAGGAGGAAGATTAAATGAGATTTTTTTGGTTCATATTCGCGATCAACTGATCATCCGTGTTCACTGCAAATCACCCAAGACTTTATTAATCTCGGCGAAATGTATCGATAGCTCAGAGAGAAAGATGTGAAGAATTTTCTTCCACTCGTTTCATTGGAATCGATTTCTTCGCATCGTCCACGTGAAATATTTCCTAATATTACACGTTGTACTAAAAACCGAGAATTAATTCTGAACATTGACAAGTAGCTTCTTGCAGACTCGAGGTTAACGTTACCGAGAAATGCACGGTCGTTGATAGCAAAACAATGGCCGTATCGATTCGTTAATTAAATCGAACAGCGGTATAAACAAAGTGAGAAAACTCTGTGCTCTCTTCCAAACTGATAAGTCGATGAGATATGCCGGAACGCTCGGGATTATTGCCTCTTTCCGATAACTGACATTAATATAAGAGTAAAAATCACGAATTGTCGAGGATGAAAGGTACACCAGTGGCTCTTAATTACCGGGCCTGCACTATCGGCGAACTCGGTCTTGTATTATGAAGTGGCTTCACGGAACTAATGAGGAATGTACTTGGCCAACTTCCTTTGTTCCTTCGCGAGATGTTCATTCATATGAACGAAGTGGACGATATTAAAGTCTCGAATTTTGATTGTTTCATATGGAAATGATTTTTTTTTAATGCCACGAAAGAATGCCGCAAAAACAGTAAAATAATCAACATCAGGGCAATCCCACCTTTATGAAGTCTGTTTTTACTCTTTTCAGTACTTTTACCACGTATTGTACTGGAAGTAATTAATGTTAATTACGTATCGTAATATTTTTGACACCCTTCGCTCGTGCAATATTTTTATAAAATGCACGTGTTGTATTGTTAAATTGTAGGATATGTAGGATAAGTTAGAATAAGTTTAGACTTAAGTCAGATTGTAAGAAGATTGCAACCCTAAGGGTAACAATGAAGCTAATTCTAATTCTATTACATTTATTGGTCTAAATATAAAATTGTTAGTTTCAAAGTGAGAAGAACAAAAGCATGAAATTAATGTGTAATTCATAACGTACCTTCGGAGTCCGATGTGTCCGACAGCGGAGGCTCATTGGCGATGTACTGGCGGCCGCTCAGCAAATTGTTCTCCACGACCGGCCGTTTGTCCTCCAGCTGCCTCCTGAAGCCACGATAGTCGTCCTGTAAAGGAGACGCGTAAATCGTGAAACAAAAATAACGAGACAGGGAGCATTGGTGTCTGGTGCAGTGCCAAGTTTTCCCTTGGCGTTCAACTCTTCGTCGAGAGACGAAGGCTTCAAGAAATTAGCCTCGTTTCGACTAAACTCATCTGTCTGTTGTGACAAGTAGGGAGTAGAGTGGCGTCAATACCACGACGTTGATGGATGCAGCCGATGATATCGTCATCGCTGTCGTTTTATCTTCAACGGTATTATTCAAAAGTACTATTGCTATACCAATTGACTTAATGAATAAAACAACTAATGAGAAAAGCGTGTGTATGAACACATGAAAGTAAATCGCACGAGAGAAAAATTTAACACTTAGTTTTACACGCAGACACACGTATCAATTATAAATTGACGAGCTATTGTATTATGTAGCGATGGGAAATATGCGCGCGTCTTAAACGTTTAAATGTGGTAACAAATTAAATTAAAAATAGAATTAATTGAAATAATAAAGCATTCTTGGCGAAGGTGCAGTGCCGTCAGACGCCACTGTGCATCGTAGAGATATTAACATGCACGTCCCTAATTACGTTTGACGAGGACGTTATGCAGCGGGGTTGAAAATTAGCCTCCGCAGTCGGCGAGAAGAACTCGAGTGGATAAAAAGGCACTCTTACAATATTGCGCGCCCGCTGGTTAACGAGATTATCTCTCGTCGTTCGCGGAGTTAAGGATTTGCTGCTAGCAAGACGCCGCGGATCTTTTCCTGCGCGTCGAGAGACGCGCGGATGGCACGTTCACGTCTAGTTTCCTTTTTTATATCGCCGCGAGAAGAAAACTCATCGCAAGAACGGAATTCGCGGAGCAAGAAGCCCGTCTTTAACTGTCATCCGAGTTGAGGATTTTCTTGTTTTCAAGCGTTCGCAAATACAGCTGACGGTTCTCGCTAGCTTCATTTCGACATTTATACTTCGTAACAATACGACAAATTAAATGATTCCAACGTCGTGTTTATCAAGTCCCGATATTTTTGGCGTGATTTTTCTTTTTGATTTTTTAACGCGTGCCACAGTGGCAAAAACGTTGTGTCACCGCGGGCAAAAAACGGTTATTTTTTTAAGAATAAAATCACATATTTCTTTAGAAGTGCCGGCCATCCGTGCTTTTATAAACCGATTGGGAAAATAATGACATGATAAAACCATCTAAAAAAACAATGATGTAGGTTACGTTATTGTTGTCCGAGTTAACAATTGCATTTTTAAAGATAATTTAAAACACCTCTCTCTCTCTCTCTCTCTCTCTCATCATGATTTAAGCAGCTATTTATGGCCACATATTTAACCCTTTGAAGCATACGTTTTTCTATTAAACCATTTTTTGTGAAACTTTGTATACAAGGGTTTTTGGGGTCCCTGATTACGAATTCGTTATCAGATTTTCATAATTTAAAATGGCGGATTCAAAACTTAAAAGAATAACATCATTCAACTGTAATTCAACTATGCTAAGAAACATTATTTAGATATAATTAGGACCCATGGAATCTAAATTCCAGTTGAAAACTATTATAGAACAATAAAAAATAGCGCGAAATGGCGGATGCAAAATTTAAATTTGATCATTTCTTCACACAAAAAACTGAATCCTTAAATCACGTATATTTTTATTCTTAAACGCCATTTGCATTAATTTGAGCATGGAATGCTCTCTTTAGCCAGAAATGTTTATTTACATTAATAATAAATAAGTTTGTATGGAATATATTTTATCCTTAATATGGTATTCTTGTTTCTAAAATCATTATACGGTTATAACAAGCGCAACGACATAATTCCAAAGCCATTTATTCTTGAAAGAAGAACTATTACATACTTGAAAGCTCAACGTATACCCGAGCAGAAATGAATCTAGTCGGA